CGCGCAGCCCCGCCTGGGCGAGCGCGCTGACCTCTCCTCCCGGCGCGCGCCCTCCTAGTCATGCGCCCCGCTCGGTGGGAACTCAGCCTCAACAACACTTTGATGGAAAAATTTATGAAGAATCAAATTATTGCTGCTGGGAGGGAATTAAAACCATTTTTCATTCCCTGCGTCCCCGGGCCACGTCTGCGGGCGCCACCTTGGGAGCGCTGCGCGCATCCCATCCCTCTTTATGGCCCGCCATCACGGGCGGAGATTACAGCTGCAATTCTCCACTAATCGGTTCTGGAGCGGGAATGGCCATAAACGCGAGGCTCTCGGCCTGCCTGCCTTCCCCGGGCTGCCATCAGCACCGCCCACGGCGAGCCGCAGGGGTGCGTGGACAGACGAGGCCAAGCCCAGTTCTGTCCGCTGCCCACACTGGCCAGGGCACCCCGGTTGGGGGCATCCCCTGTGACCTCGGCCACCTCTGTTCTACTTGGCAGACTCCTACTCATCCTGCAATGCCCAACTCCAACGCCACCTCCTCTGGGAAGCCCTCTCTGATGCCCCAGTCTGGGGGGGGTCATCCTGAGCTTCCTCTGGCCTCAGTTTGCCTGCTGCAAAATGGGCCCATCAGCGGGGTGTCTCTCAAAGGCTGTGATGATACTGAGCACACAGGTCCATGAATATCACTGCAGAGTGACAAGGCAGGTCCCCATGGTCCCCGACTCGGCTGTGGTCCCACAGACAGGACCTGGCCCCGCCTGATCTGCAAGGAGGCATTGTGCGTGTGCGGGCCAGGTAAACCAGGACCCCTCTAGCCCACACAGTGCACGGCTTTGCAAGGGGAGCAGGGGCTTCTGGGCTTTGGTTGGATATTTTTGTTCAGGCCACAACCTGCTCGACTGTCTGCGGCAGCTGTGGGCAGAGGCTCCCAGGGTTCCGCTAGCCATGCAGCTGTGCCGAGGACCTGCTACTCTGCAGGGAAGATGTTCTTGCCCGGTCCACTCACTGCCCCCGTGCGCCCGGCCCAGGGGCCTATTCATGTCCAGCTTGGCCATGAGCAGGCAAGACGGGGCCGGGGCCCTGGTCAGGGTCAGCACATCTCAGGTGTCTCCCAGAGAGGGGCGGGGGCGGTGACCGGGTTCCTGTCATCCTCACGGGTGGTGGGGCTGGCTGGTTCGGAACAGCCGCGCTAATGCCTCGGCAGCAGGGGGTCGATTGCTACTTTCTCCAAACTCATCAACACAATCTATTATTAATACTTCTCCAAAGGCTCGGTGCCGCCATTAGGAGGCAGCGCCAGCCACTCAGGGCGTCATCTGTTATCTAGATTGCAAAAACCCAGGAAATAAAACAAACGGCGCGCACTTTATAAACGGAATGTGCCATCCGTTTGGTCTCCAACCATCTCTCCGCCCAATAAAACATCGGGGGGGACACATGAAATACTCACTCCCAGTTATGGGGCTGCCTTTGTGTACCGTGCCGGGTGGGGTGAGAGTTGTGTGCAGGCGGGGCCGGGGCGCCGACAGGTCCCCTCCTCTCAGTGAGCTCCATCTTCCCCTCTTCCCTGGAAACCGCTGCCCAGAACCGGGCCAGCCACTGGCAGTGGCCATCAGAGTTGGGCCTGCTCCCTCCACTCACAGCAAGTGATCCCCCTCTCCCAGCCTCAGCTTACTTATCTGTATAATGGGCTCGACCCCCCTGCATGCTTCTCAGCACATGGGGCAGGGGGTTGTGGCCCGCAGAGAGGGCATGGCGTGGGTTTCTAGCCTGGCTCTGTAACGTGTGTGTGTGTGTGTGTGTGTGTGTGTGTGTGTGTGTGTGTGGTGTTGGGGATCGCACCCAGGACCTTGCATATCATTACAGATGGAGTCTACCACTGAGCTACACCCCCGGCTCTGTAACTCTCTTGCTATGTGCCTTGGACAAGACATTTAACCTCTCTGCGCCTCAAATTCTTCTCATAAAATGGGAATGATGGTAATGACACACGGAGTTGTTGGGAAGGAAGACTGGATTCATTTAAAGCCCCTGGCTGTGTGTGGCAGGAGGAAGGGTTTCCCCCAAAATCATCCAAAATCATCCATCCTCTTCTTCTGCCCCTCGCATCCGAAACGGCTTTGGGGATTGGCCTTGCCGAAGCCTCCGCAGTGGACAGGTCCCAAGCCCGCCTACCTCCCATGGTCGCCTGGGCTCTCGGCCGCTCTTCTAGCTTCTCACCGACCTGACCACGCCCCAGCCGGGCTGTGTCCTTAGCCTTGCTGATCAGGCACTGAGCAGGCCCAGTGCCGCCCACATCCCTCAGGTCTCACAGACCAGCGAAGGAGGCTGCTGCCCGTGGCCCATTTTACAGAGGGGCACACTGAGGAGAGGAGGGTGGGTCCTCATTCAAGGTCACACACAGCATTCTCGATGCTGCCTCCCTGCCCTGTGGATGCTGTGTCGCTGTGTTCTGGGAACAGGCCTGCCCCCACGGTGTCTGCCCACCTCCATGATGGTGGCTGCTCCCAGAAACCAAATCGAACGTCCCTTACATAAAAACACGTCTTTCCCCTCTCCTGGTGGGGTTATCTGTGCATTTCAGAGTAGGAAATCCCGTGAGTGGGGACATCCCTCCCTGCAAGGGTCCCAACCTGTGTGGACGCATCTCTAGTACCTGTCCGTGTTTATTGGTTTAAATCTCTTTATTAGGGCTGGGGATTTAGCTCAGCGGTTCAGTGGTCTGCCTCGCAAGCGAAAGGACCTGAGTACGATCCCCAGTACCACACACACACATACACAAATCTGCTTATTAAACTCAAGGCTAAGGAACAAAAGTCTGAAAACCAAAATTTTCAGGAGCATCTGAAATCTGATGAATTTCTCCTAAATCACTGACAGTGGCAGAGACGCCGGGACATGGCTGATTCTGCTGCCTCCCCTAAGGGTGGCTTCCTGATGCCCAAGGGTGCTCCCGCCTCTCTTCTCTGAGCAGTCTGGCCCCACATTTAGGAGTCCGGCTGCATGCACCAGACTTGGAACCCGGGATGTGTCATTTCCTAGAACTGGAACCTTGCACAAGTCCCTTTTCTTCGTGAGCCTCAATGTCCCCATCTGTCCAGTGGGGCTAAGGACAGAGGCCATCCGATAGGGCTAGGTGCACGGGATGGGCTCAGTATATAAGCATCACGACTGCCATTATCTCTTCAAGGTTCCTGGCTCCCGTTCTCCATCCTCGCTGAGTGTGCGGTGCCGTTTGCACACCCCGTGGCTTCACTCTACAGTTTATGCAGCCCTTTGTTGGACTCTCACTCCATGTTCATCCTCTCTGCTCTCAGTGGGCCTCCTCCCGGCCTCCTCTGCTCTGGTAACCATGACATGGTTCCTACTCTTTTATAAAGAAAGGCTGGGGAGCACACTCAGAGCACAGTCCTGTCTCCTTGCTATGGTGTGGAGGTGTCTCCCAGGCTCTGTGCTCAGTGCTTGGGCACCAACCTGTGCTGCTCTTTGGGAGGAGGTGAAATGTCTAGGAGGCGGGGTCTCTGGGGAGGAAGTTAGGTTATGGGGGGTGGCCTTGATGGGATATGGGGACACTGGCTCTGCTTTCTCTTCTTTTGTTTCCTGACTGCTGTGAGGAACAGGCCTCCTCTGCTGTGCACCTCTGCCACCACCATCTGCCCTGACAGACTCACAGTGAAGGGGCCAACCATGGACAGAAACTTCTGGAACTGGGAGCTGTCCTCCTTACCAGTTGACTGTCCCAAGTATTTTGTCACAGCAACAGAGAGCTGACAAACACTTTTCACTGACTTGTGCACACTGTTTGGCTTCAGAGGGTCCAGGAGCACCCAGTGATTTCAGATGTGCCCCATACCTCAGTGCAGCACTCAGCCCTCACCCCACGTCCACCACCCCTGGCTCCAGTAACCAAGCTGCTTCCAGAACATGGCCGCCTTAGTGC